TGACTTATATTCTGTGTTTGAATGCCTCCTGTTTACTAAAACAACATATGAAAAAGTTCAAGAAACATGTTTGTGTTTATCAAGTTAACGAATAAAAAAACGTAGATTTTCGCTATTCACTCTTGTACATATACATATTAATCAGTTCCCTCAGTAGTTTTGACAAGGAGTTACCAACAAGACTGGTTTTAATTAGAATCTTTAAATCGTAAGCCTTTCGCAGAATTCAAAATTTTGTATGAAAAAAGATATGGCCATCTAGAGAGATAAAACAGCTAAACACTTGAGCTTAATTTCATGCTAGTTACGCGCCAATTTGCCAAATGGGTTATTTATATTCCATCTTATTGATTAGGATTGCAAAGTTCACCCATCCGTATTTGTAAATCTATGAATCTTTTTATTTCGCCTTACAAGAAATATTTCGTATCACACTTTATGATGTGTGATATGAATAAAGGATGCGAAGAAAGTGGTCTCTTGGTTTTTCTATCCCGCCATATTGAGTTAAATTTCCTACATTTCTATTTACTATCCGATAAGTGAATGCTGACTTCCAACGGTCACATACTGCTTGAATTACATTACATAGCAACAGATATGCGATGTGTTAATCAAAGTACAAAGCACTCGCACTTTTCAGTTCAAATTTTTTTTTTTTTATTTAGATTCTATTTTAGTCTGAACTGTAAAAAAAAGGCTTTTAAACGCACGATGTTACTGTTCGATAATCGAAGCTGACCTATGACATCAAATTGTGTATTTGTGGGGGTGGGTGAATGAGCAATGATTCACAGAATTCTCATGTCTAACAATATTTAATTGTTCAAAAGTGCACATTTAACAATTATACAATAAAATACAGGGTTTCGACAACTTGAATGACTTCTATATAAGTCCGTCTCCTCTAAGAAGATGGCAACATTGAAAACACTGTGTTGAGAAACCGGCCATAGTATAAGTTTACTTTTTATATTTATTCGGTGGTTTCTCTTTTTCATATGTACACAAAAGTCAGTTTGGTCGAAAGTAGCGATAAACTCATTTGTAATATTGTAATTGTGGCTGTGAATATGTTCCACAATTTTTTTAAATCTAAATAGAATTAATAGAAAAATGATTTTTGCCATAACAGAAACGGTCTCAAAACGTCATGAGAATTAGATATTGCTTAACAGCAACTCACAATAGGGTCGCTTATTGCTGTTAATAAAATCAAATTGAAACCTCTAGCTTGCATTTTTTAAATAAAGTTGTTCAACAAAATACGCCTCTCGTTGTGATATATATATAATATTCAAAGATATTTGGTTTTGTTCACCTACTGGTTCCCTGATATGATCATTATGTTTCATCTCAATGAAAACAGCTTGGGATTTTACCAAGAAAAAAAATGCATGTAGATTTTTACCAAATTAAATTCTGGTGAATATCAAAAGTGAAGGGAGATTTCAGTATTTTAGTAATAGTTTAAACTCTCAGAATTTCGAGGCATATAAATGTAGAAAGCATGCCTCACATCCCTATATTTTGACCAATGAAAAATATAGTTGTGCATATAAAGTTTTTGGCTGAACAGGAGAATTTGACTTGTTTGTATTTAAAAAAGTGCAACCTATAACTAGCTGTAGTACAGTACGTATTATTCATTGAAACATAATCTTTTGATGTTTAGGCAACAGTTTTATAATATCTTAGTAACATGCTACATGTCAAAGGAAACCAGACCTGGGGTAATTAAAATGTAATTGTAATTAGCTGTAATTAATTACAATTTTGAAAGTAATTCACTGTAATGTGTAACGACCATATTTTCAATTACTTTGAAATACATTTAAATATTTTCATGGAAATTTCGGCTTTTCTGATGAAACTTGTAAATATATTTTTCCTTCATTTTGTATGCACTGTGAACTTTCATTTTTCTTTATACATTTTAAACATTTATCATGATGAAAAAATATAACATGTCTCAAATTATTCTATCGAGCATTATTGTATGCATAATAACCATTATGTGTATTTAAATCAAATTTGTTTCACATGTTAACATAATAAATCTAAATAATAAAAATTATACCAATTTATTTAAATCAAATTTTCAAATATCATGTTGTTCTAACAATTAAAAAAAATCTTACCCTCAGGTTATTCCTCTCACTTAACTAATCGTTACGTACAAATTTGTCCTAGGTTAAAATGTCAAAGGCAATGCTTTTTAAACCATCATTTTTATTTATTAAAATCTGTACCGATGGATATTATTTAAAAACTTTCTACAAAATTTAAAATACAGTCAAACCATACAAGAATAAAGTCCAATATAATTGACAATTTTGACACATCATAAAACAAGTCTTGAAAATGCTACCCTTACTCTTCTGTAATAAGTGGAAGCTTTAAAGATACTTCAAGAAACATGATGTGCATAAGAAAGCCTTCAAGATATAAATTGACATTTTAAGAAGAAACTTAAAATGTTAAGAAAACAATTCTAAGAAGAAAAAACATATTAATCTAGATCTTTAACTGTATTCATGTAAATCTTTATAAATTGTTTTCCAATAAAAAAAAAGAAATGCAATCTAATAATCAGTATTCAAAATCTAATGGTGATCAAATGTATCAATGACGTAAGAATTTTTTTCAAACAAATCTTGTTCAAATGTTTTCATCGTTAAAAATGGAACCTAATGGTATATATGTAAATCTGGGTTTTGAAACAAATGCTTGCCTTGCTGTTTCTATGTCCCCTAATAGCTGAAAATGTACTACACGGATGTTGTATGATAAAGCTTTCTCGTAGGCATTAGCTATAAAATTGTCTTCCTGTATAGTTAATTGTAAATCTTGCAGAAAATACCGACATTGAATGATATTATTGTAATGATACTGGCAAATAAAACAAAGAAAATGTGCATATACAATATTATGTATGGCATCGTTTTACTTGGATTTGTTATTCATCGGGTAGTAATGTACACTTTTTCTACAACCATATGTTATCTATCAACAGCAATTTCGACAACTGACCATTCGTCATCTGCCTAAACAAATTCTAACTGAATATTTCAAAAAATGAATCTGCTACAAAGTCATACCATGGTAAAGAGTATATTGCAATATGGCAAGAGCTATTTTGTTTTGTATTGTAAGTTAGAGTACTGTGGTTTCATTTATTTTCGTGGGTACCAAATTTCGTGGATTAAGGAAAACTTTCATGTTCGTGGATATTTAATTTCGTGGCTTTGTCGAAGTCTGCATACAAGCCTATAGGAAATTTGGCATTCGTTGAACATCTAATTTCGTGGCACACCTGTACCCACGAAATCTACGAAAATTGGTATCCAACGAATAATAATGAATCCACAGTATACTGTTGACCTCTTTTTTTTCTTTCTAAGAAGTTCCTGTATGAAATCAGCCTCATAAGAAAAAAAAATGAACAAGTCGGCAAGAAGAGGGCCACAGATTGTTTCTACGGGAATGCCGATTGTTTGTTGAAAAACACGTCTTCAAAAGGTAACAGATATGTTGTCAATCAAGAAATCAATCATCTTGATTATGTCAGTTTCAGAGAACATTTTGTTCGAATCAGAGTGATTTTTTACAAATTAGGATTTGTCAATAACAACTAGTAGGATTTATCATTACAAACTAGCCGCCACGAAATAACCATTGTGTTGACTTGGTGTTAGATAAGAAAATATCAATCAATCATGTACATCAGACTGTTGTCACCTTCAAATCAGCATCATCCGTTTTCACAATGAAATATTCGCAACACCAGTCTACGTGAAATTGGACCGATTAGACTGTTTGTAATAAGGAGAAGTTCTACATTGTACATCATAAATTCGAAGCAAGACAGTTATGTCGAAGTTTGTTAAAGTTTGGCTTAATATATCTGTATGTCTTGGTGTGCTTTTACTTTTTTTCGGCTACGATTTTGCTGTCGTTAATGCACTAAAAGTCAAAAGATAAGTGTAATCTAAATTTACAAACCTGATTATCTACCATAACGGGATGATGTTACCCTCAGGGACAAAATGTACACCATCAGTGGCATTGACTAACATCTATCAATGATACCACTTCTATGTAAATTATAAAGTTATACTCGCAACACCAGTCTACATGAAATTGGACTGATTAGACTGTTTGTAATAAGGAAAAGTTCTACATTGTACATCATAAATTCGAAGCAAGACAGTTATGTCGAAGTTTGTTAAAGTTTGGCTTAATATATCTGTATGTCTTGGTGTTCTTTTACTTTTTTTCGGCTACGATTTTGCTGTCGTTAATGCACTGAAAGTCAAAAGATAAGTGTAATCTAAATTTACAAACCTGATTATCTACCATAACGGGATGATGTTACCCTCAGGGACAAAAAGTACACCATCAATGGCATTGACTAAAATCTATCAATGATACCACTTCTATTTAAATTATAAAGTTGGATTGCATTAATGATGTTTTACAAATAGACAGTGCTAAAAGAGTACTAGTACACTAAATGGTTGTCGATAATTGCTGTGAAAGATAAGATAAGTCGGAGATAGATAAAAATGTCTAAACAGGAAAGTCGACCGATAGACCAACGACGGCAAAACACCAACTTATTTGTATTTGCTTAAAAGGACGCCATTATACCAGTTTTCGGTTTGCTATTAGAAATATAGTTGATAGTTCGATCTTGATAAAAAAGAATGACACGGGAGAAGTCAATGTTTTCAGCAATTCGTGTTGCTGGGTCTTTAGTGGTTTCGGTCGTGTTACAAGAACATTAATTGTCTTTGTGTTCGTGTTTTATCGTGTAGTTTTGACTCCTGAAAAAATATTGTTTTTGCCTGTCCCTCTTGTATCATATGAATTTTTGAAATAAGGTGTGAATTTTTTTCTTATATCATATCTGAATTGTGTGTTTTTTATTTGGGGTTAATATATTACATTAGTTTGCAAATACCTATATCAACACGATAAATAAATCAAAACAAAAACACACAAATCAGATTTAATTTCGCAAAATACACCTCACTCACTAAAATACATTATCATACATAATTCAACCTATTAATGGCAGCATCCGGTACGCACTATTACAATCTACATCTTGGTATATTTCTATAGATTTCATTAATACTTGTCTGGCTGATGCTCTGTCTCCAACTAAGTGAAAAATTATACCTAAGATGTTATATGAAGAAGCTTTCTCAGAGTCCTCAGCAATGAAATAATCTTCCTCTATAGTTAATTGTAAGTCTTTAAGAGAATGCTGACATTGACAGATATTATTAAGTTGATAGTGACAAAGAAAACGAAGGGAATGAGCATAAACTACTGGTGGTATTTGAAAGCCTGTCGTATTTTTTCCAATAAGGAGTTCATTCGGTGTGAACAATGAGTTTTCAATAAACAACACTTCATTTACTAGCAGCAATTTTGTTAATTGAACTATACTCATCTGCATAAACAAATTCAAACGGTATATTTCATTATGAATATTTGAAACATCAAAGTCATTGTAAATTTTTTCGGGTGAACATTTTAGTAATGAGTACTGCAGGATGTCTAGAGCTATTTGAAACTGTTTAGTCTTATAGAAAAATGAAGCTAACATCAGCCATCCAGATACAGCATCTTCACGTGTATTTAGTAATACATGACTTATACACATTTTGTACTGTTTATAGAAAGATTTGTTATTGTCCATTACATCAAACGGTAGTACCTGGCATCTATTATGACACATTTTTGACATATAGAACGAACAAAGGTATTTTATATTTGAACTCTTAAAAGACTGCATCATGTGAACCTCTTTTTCGAATGAAGAAGGAGTGCTTGGAATGAAACCATCTCTCAAAAAAGCAGTTGGAGATACTACTATTTTCAGACTATTATAACATGTATAATATAACGTTGGCGTTTCTGATTGAATTTGAAATGATAATTTATTGATTTGATTTGAAAATAAGATACATTTCCATCCATAACTATTTAGAGACTTCAGCTTTTTCAAAAGTGTTTCTTGTGCGTGTCCTTTCATTTTATTCTCAAATAAATTATTCTCAGGAATGAAGTAATGTGGACAATCTGAGTTTTCAACACAATATGTAAGTCTCTTCATACACTTTATAAAATTAGATATTAGGTTAGCTGGGTGCCAGGTTGTGAGTGGTACTTCCTCAGAAATCCAAAACAAAATTGTTTTCATGAAATATGTGCATAGCATGTCCTTACTTTCTAAGTCATTCTCTATTACGTCTTTGAGAAGAATTTTCATCAGAGCATAACACAGTAATTGTGTATGTGTAAAGGCATAGATCAGTAGTCTTTCTCCAACGGAAAATGATATTCGCCATTCTAGATCTTCTTTTGAAGATCCCTTAACACCTATTGGTACAAATAGAACACCATGTGTTATAATAGACTGTTTAACATCGTATCCCGGCCATGCATTATTTGAGCGTTTTATCCACTGATGTGCTTGTCTTATCCATGATTTACAATGTAAGCAGTAGGCAATATCAAAGACACCTTTCTTGTCGGATGTACACGGTCCATGAATTATTGGAGCAAATTCGTTGATGAATCGTTGCTTTATACGAAAGTTTGAACAGTAGTATTCACCTCCAATCTCTTCACAAATTTCCAAAATGTTTAACTTTTTATTACAGTGTTTATTTTGCAGATGTAATTGAGTGTATCCCGGTTGTATTTCGTCTGCTTCAATGATAAAATATGCTTTATCAGGGTTTAAAGGAACATTATTGTCCTCGCAAACTTCAATATATTTCATTGCAAACATAAGATCGAGATCACTTCCTCGCATCTCGAGTCCTTCTCCAAAACTTCCACTTGTGATTATTGATTGGTTGTCATCGCTTTCTAGATAATCCCTTACAGTGTTCATCATTCTTCTTGCTTTAACATTTTCCTCTGACCCGACAATTTCCTGACAGAGGTACTGATATAGAGCTATTGATGCGTCTTGTGTTGCTGGTTCTGTAAAAAAAGTTAATTAAAAGACATAGAATACGCTTCTTACACTTTAATGTCTGTTACCTCAATGCACAACAAATGGTTTATGCGGAAGTTACATTAGTATATACTAAGCTTCTTTAAATTTGATTCTGTTTTTTTTAACACAATCGAAAAAGGAAAAATAACAACAGGGAAAGATAAATTATCCATTTTGGATGACATTTTTGTGTAGAGTTACCTTTCAAAACGGACATACCTATATGTTAGAAAGGAAACTATTGCTGTTTAATTTGATTTATATAAAATAATATAAAAACTAGAAGATATTGTATGATTGCCAATGATACAACTATCCACCATAGTTCAAATGTAGTGAATCATGCAATGATAGGCAAATTTATGGTCTTCAACAACTGAGAAAAAAACAATATCGCATCGAATGCTATAAAATGCCCCGACGTAAAGAATATGGATAGAATTGGATAAATGTTTACGTGGATTTGCCAATTACCTAGTTTGATCTCTTACGCTATGGTTACAAATCAGTTGATATTTGATTGAGACAACAACGTTTACCCACTATGACTTTGATTCTTTCCATTTTGAATTGTTTCTATTGTTTCTATTGTATATTTGTTAATTTATTTGTATTTTGGTTGGCCGATTAAGAATGATATAAATGACACCTCAATGAAATGATATGTCCTACTGAAATATGACTCCACAGATTATTTACTGTGTTAGTTATATGCGAATATTTTTGGTTTTAAATTTTTCATTGTTTTTAAATCAAAGATCTAGGTTTCAGCATCACTTGGAGGGAATACATGTTTGATAAATGCACACGTGATACGAACATTTAATAATGGGAATGTGTATAGCTAGTAGTCTTAGTTAATATAATATATCAATTTGATTACGTTTTTTAATTTACATGAAATCAAACAAGAGATTTTGATTTGAACAATCTAGTTGATCTGTAACGGGATAATGTATTTATAATTGATCCTTCACATAGAAGTAAAATAACAAACATTTCAAACTTCATTGCGAGTCTCTTATAAATTGAAAAAGCAAAGCTCAAACACATCAAACGAATGGCCAACAGCTATCATACTCATGACTTGGTACATGCATTTCCTAATTATGTAGAAAATGATGGATAATACATGGTTTTATAACCATCTAATCATCTCACTTGTATAACAAATTATCTTACCTTGGTCTCAAGTGCGAAACCAAAACGTACAATAGAGGCATCCAAGATAAGTATTTACTTGTAAATTTTGTTATTATTACATGCAATATTACCATGATGCTGGTTCATACAAACATTTCTCAGATACTTTTTTTATTTTATTTTCAAGTATCATTTAAAATATAGGATCCATGGTACAGAAACACATTGCAAGACCAGAAAGAGTGCGAGTTATACATCTGAACGTTGTTGTAGCTAGAATTCAGGTTATCGTTCGTGTTAAAGTTTGATTCGGAGTTTCACTTCGTGATGAATCTTTAGTAGGAACGAGAATAAGACTTTTAATCTTAATGAACCCTGCGCTCGAGCTACCTAATTGAATTTTGAATGAAAATAGTTTATCACTATATTATCAAAGGAAAACATCGTGTACATGAAGGTAGAAATGTTTATTTCACATCGTGTCGCTGTATCCAGACACACAAATTGTAACTATTAGTAATTCTGATATAACCTGGTAAACAACTTATGTAACATATGATCATTAATTATTTGTTTACAGATTGTGGCCTTTTCAAGATAGTGATGAAACAAGTTTCAGTCAGTATTCTGAATTATAAGTCAATCATATTGTTAATCAAAAGGACTGAAAAGCAGAAGGACAACATATGTTTTTTCCTCAGTGCGTTCGTTTATTTGTGTTAATTACTCTGAAATAGTGACATCAGATATGACCGAGCTCATCGACTCTTTTGACCTATAAGGTACAAAACTGAATTTTTCGAGTCTGAGACGAAAGTCACAAAAGTGAAACATTGCGACCCTATACTAAATCGTCTTCTCTTTCAATATTTAGCTGCAGTGTTATATCAAAACAAGCTATTACTATATGAAAACCAGTTGTTGAACGTGTATCAAGATATTGCACGGAAACAACATAAAATGGCAAAATTGTGCAATTAGAAAAAGATCATATGATAACAGGAATTGCTTACACAATGCCATAATTTTCGTAACAAAAGTATACTTAACTTATGTCCGTAGTAAAACTCAGAATTCAGTTTTAGATATACATCCCAGAAAACAAAAAAAGTATAAAATAGTACTAACCTTCCATTTTACTTTTGTGTACACTTTTATGTGCATGGATACGTTTACGTGGAGTTTCTAACAACCTTGTTGTTTTTTTTACTAAGTTATAGTTAAAATTTGTTGATATTTAATTAAAACAAAACGATTGACCCACTATGACTTGTTTCTTTCAATTTCAAAATAGTTCCTATTGTATATTTATTAATTTCATTGTATTTTGGTTGACCGATTAAGAATTATAGATGACACCTCAATGAAATGATATGTCCTACTGAAATATGACTCCACATATTTCGTTTCGTGTAAGATAGTAGGCAAACAATATTGGTTTTAAGTGTTTTATTGTTTCTAAATCAAATATAAAGGTTTTAAAAGTATCACTTGACGGGAAATAAAGTTTTAAACCAGACAAATATCAACCTATCTGCTCTTTGGTTGATGAACAGAATAACGTTTTTGTTCATTTCAACATTTCTTATGAGATAGCATTACAACTACACTGAGGATACGACAAACTAGACATACGTCAATCAAAGACATTAACTACGGAAATAAATCTACACCGGACGGCAACCAGTTAAAGTGTCAAAATCAAGCTTGGACTGCCTATCCAGTTCGTTCAATTGATAAAAGAATATCATATAAGAAATATGAAATAATTTAAACACATAATTAAGAGAAAAATAGTGTTATTCAATATTATTTACCTGCCATTTTGTTGTACACTTACTGTTGACTTGGTTACATACGGGGATTACCCCGGAACATCTACTTTCGTTTTTTTTAAAGGTATTGTGAAATCGATTTTTAAATCAGATGTATCGTACCATGACTGTGTTTAATTCAAATTTTGTTATTATGTGTATTTATGTCTGTTATACAGAACTGATATATTTGAATAAAGTGACCAACTATTATTATTAATATAATCTACCTTCTGATATAGGTTTTTTGTTTGTTTCACGACTTATTGAAGGGATTTTTGGCTAATGATGTCCTTCAGTGATAAGATTTTCCCATTCACCCTGTGTAACCGAACACTTATTCTTATAAGTGTTATCTCCCTGCGTCCCGTTTTTCTTGTTATTTTTATATCTCTTTAAATGGAAAAGATATCAACAAACATTAATTTCAAAATTGTTCGTCTACTCTTAAGAATGTTTTGGTTAAGTTTAACAGATATGATCCATTAATACCTTATGTTATTTCCCTTTAAAAAATTATCATAGATGATATTTTGAATTAATTTAAACACTATCAGCCATAGAGGCCTTAAATCTTTCGATACAGTCCCTGGTCAACTTGGAGGAAATTAGGGTCAAGGTAAAAGAGCAAGGTCATGTCCTTAATTTTGAATTTTGTTTGTTATATTTATTCCCAAAAAAACAGTGAGAGTTGAAGATGAGATGTGTGTGTCAAAAAACTGTTTCCGACATGAAACAACTTCAACGCATTTCAGTTGAAGTGATTCGGTAATCGCTTGTATTAGTTCTCTCCCCTTATATATTTAAAATCAGTATAACTGCTCAACCATACAAGGGAATAACCTTGACTCTTTCGATATGAGATCACTGACCTATTACCTTAAAATTGAGCACAAGGTCAAAGGTCAATTTGACATTCTAGATTTTGAACTGTGCATGAAGTTCATACTTGTTCATTGAAAACCCATCTGGTTTTTTGCATGAGATTGGTAGACGCATGACCTTAAAAATTTCAAAAGGAAGTGACATTATTCTAACCGGAAGTAGTCATTTTCACACTAATTTAATGAAAAAGTACCTTGAAACCTTAAATTTTTAGAATGAGTTTGAAGTCCTCAATCATATAAACACTAAGTAACGTCTTCCTACGATTTTTAATGTAATCCTCTATTATTGAAAGTTACGGTGTAAAGGCCTTCAACTGTTCTCTGAACAATTGGTTTTTAATTAGGTCTCTCCACTTTTCTGTGGAAAGACCTAGTGTATTTGTTCTGATTATTATTATTATTATTATTATTGTTTTTTTTTTCTTCCGCCAAATTTTGTTGTCGCATAAATTTTTTGTTTCACAATATGTCGCTTAGATATTTCTTATATAGTATCATACAATCTATGCTCTTTTTATTTTCACCCATTCTAACCAGTTTCTTTGTAAGAGTTATCTCCCTATTCACTGTTTATCATGTAATGTTATCTTCGTAACCAAAAAAGATATCGACAAATTTTTTTTCTTGATTGTTCGTTACATCCTCAGAAATTTTTGGCTCATTTGGATCGAAGCGATTCGATGAAATTTTATAGGAGTTATCTACCTTTACCAAATAAATTTGTCGGTATGTTTTTTTAACTCATAAACCTTTAACCGTATAACCCAGGAATCTTTTTATTTGAGGCCCCTAGGTCCTTACTTAGAAAATGAGGTCAAGGTCAAAGGTCAAGGTCAAGTTCTCAATTGTGACTTTTCCTTGTTTTGGCATTTTCTCCAACACTTGTAAAGATATATATAAAAGAACGAGCGCAAAATGTTTGCTTTATTGTTATGAAGATTTGTTACATTTGGTCTGATACAATCTTATGGCATCTTATAGGAGTTAGTGCCCCTGGAATGTCTAATTATAAGGTTAATTGAATATAACTTCAATTTGGTTCATTATAAAGCCATATGACCTTTTATAAAAGGTTAGGTGACATATGACCTTGAAAATTGACAACCGGAAGTGACCTTGAGAAAACCGGAAAAAGCTATTTTTGCACTTTTTTCATGGAAAAGTACTCAGAATCCGTATTTTTTGTAATAAAGATACACACACTTCTCACTAATGACCACAAGTGACTTTCGATCAACCGGAAGTGGCCAATTATATCCTGTTTAACATGCAAAATTATATAGAAACTATATATTTTTGGAACCAGTGTGAAAAAAGCTATCTGATGAGATCGGGAGTAACATTTAATTTACCGGAAGTAGCATATTATCTCCCTTAAAACTAAAAAAAAATAGAAACCACTTATTTATCGCATCAATATGAAGACACTTATGATTAGATGCCAATTTAAACTTTGAGTACACAGGAACTAGCTTCTTTTCAATAACTTTGAAAATTGATGTGGAAAGACCTCCAATTGTTCTCTGAACAATTGGTTTTTAATTATAAACATTTTTCTTTTTCCGACAAACTTTGACGAAGTTAGCAGCCTTAACAGTAAGACAAGTAGCTTTCACAACAACCAACCATTTTAGTTGTAAACTTGTGTCTGTCCTGATTTGTCTGCCTTAAAACCAAAACACTTGGTATCTAAGATGCTTCTATAAAATGTCAAGGGTAAATACAAATGATTACTGTTAGAGATGTTTATTAAATTTGTGAAAAATCGCAATGTTTTGAGTACCCATAGCTCTACTCCAGCCGAACAAATAGTTTCTCTCCTTTCACTTGTCATTGTACTTGTAGGAAAATTGATAAGTTTAAACATACACTTGGAATGCTGCAAACTGTATCACAAATTAATGACGCATGTACACATCTCTATGTCCTCTCAAATTTTAATGAATTGACAATATTGTATATATATATATATCAATATAAATTGCAGGATATTTGAGCTTTCGATTATTCAGTTTTTTCGTGTCAACTGGGACTAAAAGAGAGGAGAAAGATATCAAAGGGACATGTACAATCATAGGTCGAAAATAAACTCACAAAGACATGATGTAGGAACATTTATTCACCTAGAACTGTTTAAATAAAAAAAAAAAGTGGTGGATAAAAAATAAACAAACTCGTTTAGTGAAAATGATTACAATAAAGTTATGATTCAGAGAAAACAAACACAAAGAAGCCGTGTTAGAACTCACGTTTGTGAACGACATCAATATATTTCTGAAAAAAACTGAAAAGAAAACGTCATAAATTTTATGCGTCCAAAGCGCTTTTCTGGGTTAATCTTCATCAGTAACCCCAAAAGTCAAATATTTGAACCTAAGTCTATCTAAGGTCAACCTTTTCTAATGGAGTTGAAACCTTGTTTTCTTGATGATTTCAAAGTTAATAAATGAAAGCAATACGTTTATAACTTTATGTGTCAGATTCGCTTTTCTGGACAATCTTTTATCAGGAACGCTCGACGTCGAACATTTAAAAGCCAAGAATGAAGCATTTGATTAGCTGTCTGACAAAAATAAAGACATAAACGAAGCTAAATTCAAATCGGTTCTAATCTACCTGAGGGAGTAGAACACTAAGTTTCTTTATAATTACAAAATTTACAAACGATCTATAGCTATTTAAGACTACTTCTTAAGTCATTTGGTTTTCTTTTTGAACATGTATAATGAGAGTGAACTATAAAAAGACATGGAAAATATATAGGAACATGAATATTTTTCATAATTTAAATGATCCATTTACGTAAAAAATGAGGGCTGGCATCGAAACATGATTGTCATCTTAAATGTGATTAATATCTCGAATGATTACACTCAAATCAAAGTTAGAATTATCTTAAATATTGGCAGTTGGTTTAATCAGATTATAACTTTCAACCATGGCACAACACAATCAGTTATCAAACAATTGAAATTGTAAAATTTATTTTAACTTATGTAAATTCAAATTACGATTAAGTACACTAACTCAACATTCTATACTTTCTCCTGTATATATATCCTATTTCAATATAACGTCTTTAACTTAAAATAGTAATTTGAATGAAAAGTATAAATAGGCAATGAGATTAGTTTTCAACTTATAATATAATAAGCTTTTGTTTCAATGAAAATGAAATCTGTCCGCCATAACCGGATATCAAAATATGTGTGCCCTATAATTTTGTAACATAGCAGAGAAAGAATCTTTATATAGTTTTCCACTACTCAAAACGATTTAGAAATCATAAAATAAAACAGAATAAACAAGAGTGTATGCATTTGTATGGTATGTGATGCACGTGAAACAAAACACTTGCAATACCTCAGATGTTGTTGAAATTGTCAATGAGCGTGTTATTTAAATTGATAAACGAAGTTTATTCCTGTAGCTGAAATATCAATTTTGCATTTTATAATTATTGACAAGCTATGAATTTCAAATGAGGTGGATGACAAATATCCGAATTGAGTGAATAGCAGGGAATATAGACTGAAAGGGAAAA